AATATGGTCGACTCAATGCTGACTGAATTCGACAATGATATAGATACTTCCACCGACAATTTCCAAAAAAGTGTATTTGCGATCCGTGATTAAAAGTCATCTGGCTGATATAAGGAAGATGGATACGCCTGTTAAACGTCAACTGGACATAGAGACGCCCTCAGACCCACCACGAAAAATGAAAAAGATCTGAATTATCAGATAAAAAGGACATAAAGTTAAATAAATAAATAAAAAATTATGTGCGTATGTGTGTGTGTATGTGTGTGCGTGTGTGTGTGTATGTATGTGTGTGCGTGTGTGTGTGTTTTGAGTCCTCCAAGAACTGAAGGGGACGAGGTTATAATTAGGATAAATTCAATAGTAGTCAGATTTCAATTATTTTTTTTTTATTTTTAAGTTAAGAATGTAATCAGGAGTCTATTATTATTAGTTCCATGGAGTTTCCTGAAAAAAAAAACTATAGAAAACAAATAAAAATAGTGAGTTTTGGTATGACAACACTGCAGTCTCTTTTATGAGTAACTGTGGGTTCGAACCCCACTCAAAAGGGATTTTTTTATGGTGGGTTCGAACCCCACTCAAGGTATTTTTTTATAGTGGGTTCGAACCCCACTCAAGGTATTTTTTTATGTGTGGGTTCGAACCCCACTCAAGGTATTTTTTTATGAGTGGGTTCGAACCCCACTCAAGGTATTTTTTTATGTGTGGGTCGAACCCCACTCAAGGTATTTTTTTATGAGTGGGTTCGAACCCCACTCAAGGTATTTTTTTATGTGTGGGTTCGAACCCCATTCAAGGTATTTTTTTATGAGTGGGTTTTGAAAACCCCCCTCAAGGTATTTTTTTTAAAGTGTGGGTCCGAACCCCACTCAAGGTATTTTTTTTATGAGTGGGTTCGAACCCCACTCAGGTATTTTTTTTATGTGTGGGTTTCGAAACCCCACTCAAGGTATTTTTTTATGAGTGGGTTCGAACCCCACTCAAGGTATTTTTTTATGTGTGGGTTCGAACCCCACTCAAGGTATTTTTTGATGAGTGGGTTCGAACCCCACTCAAGGTATTTTTTTTAAGTGGGTTCGAACCCCACTCAAGGTATTTTTTATGAGTGGGTTCGAACCCCACTCAAGGTATTTTTTTTTATGAGTGGGTTCGAACCCCACTCAAGGTATTTTTTATGAGTGGGTTCGAACCCCATTCAAGGTATTTTTTTATGAGTGGGTTCGAACCCCACTCAAGGTATTTTTTTTATGAGTGGGTTCGAACCCCACTCAAGGTATTTTTTATGAGTGGGTTCGAACCCCACTCAAGGTATTTTTTATGAGTGGGTTCGAACCCCACTCAAGGTATTTTTTTGGTGGGTTCGAACCCCACTCAAGGTATTTTTTATGAGTGGGTTCGAACCCCACTCAAGGTATTTTTTATGAGTGGGTTTGAACCCCACTCAAGGTATTTTTATGAGTGGGTTCGAACCCCACTCAAGGTATTTTTTTATGAGTGGGTTCGAACCCCACTCAAGGTATTTTTTTATGAGTGGGTTCGAACCCCACTCAAGGTATTTTTTATGAGTGGGTTCGAACCCCACTCAAGGTATTTTTTTTGTGTGGGATCAAACCCCCACTCAAGGTATTATTTTATGACTGTAGCGCTGTATAGCCCTTGTGGCTTAGCGCTTTTTTTTGATTATAATAATAATAATATGAAAAAGTAAAAGGACACAAGTGCAACTAATGTGACATTTATTGTGGCAACGTTTCGCTCTCCAGGAGCTTTATCAAGCCATTACAAACAATACATGGACACAGAGGGTATATAAAGGTCAGAGTGAGGTGTAATACTAGTGAGGAAACATTTCGATGTTCACTAGTGGTAGTAGTAGTAGTAGTAGTAGTAGTAGTAGTAGTAGTAGTAGTAGGGTAGTGTAGTAGTATGTAGTAGTAGTGGTAGTAGTAGTAGTAAGTAGTAGTAGTGGTAGTAGTAGTAGTAGTAGTAGTTGAAGTAGTAGTATAGTAGTGGTAGTAGTAGTAGTAGTAGTAGTAGAAGTAGTAGTAGTAGTAGTATAGTAGTAGTGACAAAAGTAATACAATATGGTAGAGCAGTTAATTCGTACATGAGTAAAAGGATATAAAAGTTATTACTTGGGTAACAGTAAACCCTGCCGTCACATAGTCTCTCCTGTTATACTACACAAAGCACATTACAGAGAGTCAACACTGAAACAAGCTGCATCTATCCAGTCTATATTTGTCCAACCTATTTTTATGTTACCCAAGTAATAGCTTTTATATCCTTTTACTCATGTACGAATTAATTGCTCTACCATATTGTATTACTTTTGTCACTACCACCACTACTACTACTACTACTACCACTAGTGAACATCGAAATGTTACCTCACTAGTATTACACCTCACTCTGAGCCTTTATATACCCTCTGACCAGAGACGGGTCATCGCAAGATTGAGACCCGTGCCAGGACTACGGTCTTGGCGAACATTGTACATACACCCCAGGAGGCATCCGGGGAAATGAGGCGGCAGATGATGCAGCCAAGGCAGCAACAGACTATCCACATGTTGGGATTACTGTCCCAATCAGCCTACGACAGACCAAACTGGTGGCTGCCAGAGCCATGAAACTTATGGGGGAGGGCTTAGGTGATTTCCCCATCTCAACAGTAGTACCGAGCAGCGACTCAGGGAGAAAACCCCCCCCATAGATAGAAGCTGGTCCAGAGCGCAGTGTACCGCCATCCATCGGCTTCGTTTGGCCTTTCCACAGCCAAGATGATGGTAGCAAGGCTGAGGAGGAGATGTGCCAGTACTGTCAGCACGTTGTTCCAGCGGCCCCTAACACCCCTTCTTCTGGAGTGCGAAGTTACTGAGACACTCCGCAGGCAACTAGGAGTGATTTCCCTCCCCAAGAGGAACCAGGATGACTGCGGCCACACTAGTGTACCATGGAGCTACGATCCAGACAAGCTGTTAAACCCGTGATAACGACATATCCTCCTCCTCGCTAGTGTCCATAGTTAGGAGTACATACGGTGTTGTCGCTTATGAGATACACCATTGAACTGACCAGAAGAGTGTTTGAACAGCATATGTCGCATCATTGAAAAAACCTTTCTCCCCGGGACCCAGAGAGGGTCATCGCAAGATTGGCCCCGTGCCAGGACACGGTTTTGGCCAACATTTTACATACTACATATTTTTTTGTAATGGCTTGATAAGCTCCGAAGAGGAAACTTTGCCACAATAAATGTACATTAGTTGACTTGTTCCTTTACTTTCATTTTGGGTGGGTAATTTCCAAACTTTATTACAATAATAATGTGACTGACGGGGTTGAACCCCACTCTTTTTTTTTTTTACTGACTGGGGTTCAAACCCCCACTCTTTTTTTTTTTACTGATGTGGGTTCGAACCCCACCCTTTTTTTTTTTTTTTTTTGACTGTAGGCTGTATGCCCTTGTGGCTTGCGCTTTTTTTGTTAAATAATAAAATTTGGGGGGGGTTTGAACCCCACTCTTTTTTTTTACTGATGTGGGTTCGAACCCCACTCTTTTTATTTTTTTTGTATGACTGGGGTTCGAACCCACTCTTTTTTTTTTTTTAAGACTGGGGGTTCAAACCCCCATGGTTTTTTTTTTCTGACTGGGGGTTCAAACCCCCACTTTTTTTTTTACTGACTGGGGTTCAACCCCCCACTCTTTTTTTTTTTTAACTGACTGGGGTTTCAAAACCCCCCTTTTTTTTTTTTTTTTTTTTTTTTTTTTTTTTTTTTTTTTTTTTTTTTTTTTTTTTTCTGACTGTACGCTGTATAGCCCTTTGGTTAGCGCTTTTTTGATAATAAAAATAATAGATGCTGGGGGTTCGAACCCCCCTTTTTTTTTTTTTTTTTTGCGACTGTGGGTTCAACCCCACCTTTTTTTTTTTCGCTGTGGGTTCAAAACCCCACCTTTTTTTTTTTGCTGACTATGGGTTCGAACCCCCTCATTTTTTTTTTTTTTTTTTTTTTTATGACTGTAGCCTGTATCCCCTTGGGGTTAGCGTTTTTTGATAATAATAAAATAATATATGACGGGGACTGTGGGGTTCGAACCCCCTCAAGGATTTTTTTATGGTGGGTTCGAACCCCCCAAAAAAGGTATTTTTTTTGAGGGTTCAAACCCCATCAAGGTTTTTTTTTACAAAGACTATTAAAATTTCCCGCCCTAATACTTGTAAAACCATAATTTCTGTAAAATGTTGAAAAATAAAAAAATTTCTTATAGATAGTGAAAAAACAGCTCTAAATTAATAATTTTTTAAGAAAAAACAAAAAACATGATTGATGGCCGAGAATCATCATAATGGATGTTCAAAATTGTAAGTATTACCATTGGTACCCTAGGCACTAAATAGGTTTCAGAGGTATCGAAGGTACTCAGTAAGTGCTCAGAGGACTCATAGGTGCTCTGCTCAGGTGCCGCGGTACTCAGAAGGTACCAGTAAGTGTCAGTAGGGACTAGAAGGTGTCAGCAGGGGATAGAAGGTTTTAATCCAGTAAAAGTGGGGTCAGTAGGTGTCAGCAGGGATCAGAAGGTACCGTAGGGGCTCAGTAGGGGCTCACAGGGACTCAAAGGGATCGTAGGATCGTTGGGGCTCACAGGTACTAGAGGTATCAGTAGGTACTCAAAAGAGATAAATTTCGTTAGTATTTTTAACTTTTATTATGTTTAATTTTTGTTGGTTCCAATTTGTTTGTCACTAGAAATTTATTTTTAGCAGTATATATGGGTTTAAAGTTAATTTTTATGTTTTGTTTATTTTATAGTGTTAGTATTTATTGTAGTAATTATTGGAGTTGAAATAAGATTTTAGAGGGGAGTTAAACTCTTTTTTACTTTTGTGAAGAACTTGTATTGAAACTCTGATGGTAAATTATTATGTAAACAAACTTTATAACCCATAACCCGGCCGGGTTTTAAACCCGCGGTCAGAGAGTCTCACAACTCTAGACCGTCGTGTTAGCCACTAGACCAGCTAGCTTAAACCCGCGGTCAGAGAGTCTCACAACTCCAGACCGTCGTGTTAGCCACTAGACCAGCTAGCTTAAACCCGCGGTCAGAGAGTCTCACAACTCCAGACCGTCGTGTTAGCCACTAGACCAGCTAGCTTAAACCCGCGGTCAGAGAGTCTCACAACTCCAGACCGTCGTGTTAGCCACTAGACCAGCTAGCTTAAACCCGCGGTCAGAGAGTCTCTCAACTCTAGACCGTCGTGTTAGCCACTAGACCAGCTAGCTTAAACCCGCGGTCAGAGAGTCTCTCAACTCCAGACCGTCGTGTTAGCCACTAGACCAGCTAGCTTAAACCCGCGGTCAGAGAGTCTCTCAACTCCAGACCGTCGTGTTAGCCACTAGACCAGCTAGCTTAAACCCGCGGTCAGAGAGTCTCACAACTCCAGACCGTCGTGTTAGCCACTAGACCAGCTAGCTTAAACCCGCGGTCAGAGAGTCTCACAACTCCAGACCGTCGTGTTAGCCACTAGACCAGCTAGCTTAAACCCGCGGTCAGAGAGTCTCTCAACTCCAGACCGTCGTGTTAGCCACTAGACCAGCTAGCTTAAACCCGCGGTCAGAGAGTCTCACAACTCCAGACCGTCGTGTTAGCCACTAGACCAGCTAGCTTAAACCCGCGGTCAGAGAGTCTCACAACTCTAGACCGTCGTGATAGTGTGGTGTGTGCACTTGTTGAGTGTGGTGTGTGCACTTGTTGAGTGTGGTGTGTGCACTTGTTGAGTGTGGTGTGTGCACTTGTTGAGTGTGGTGTGTGTACTTGTTGAGTGTGGTGTGTGCACTTGTTGAGTGTGGTGTGTGTACTTGTTGAGTGTGGTGTGTGCACTTGTTGAGTGTGGTGTGTGCACTTGTTGAGTGTGGTGTGTGCACTTGTTGAGTGTGGTGTGTGCACTTGTTGAGTGTGGTGTGTGTACTTGTTGAGTGTGGTGTGTGCACTTGTTGAGTGTGGTGTGTGCACTTGTTGAGTGTGGTGTGTGCACTTGTTGAGTGTGGTGTGTGTACTTGTTGAGTGTGGTGTGTGTACTTGTTGAGTGTGGTGTGTGCACTTGTTGAGTGTGGTGTGTGCACTTGTTGAGTGTGGTGTGTGCACTTGTTGAGTGTGGTGTGTGTACTTGTTGAGTGTGGTGTGTGTACTTGTTAAGTGATAGTGTGGTGTGTACTTGTTAAGTGATAGTGTGGTGTGTGTACTTGGTAAGTTGTAGTGTGTGCACTTGTTAAGTGAAAGTTAAGACACTTGTGCAACATCTGGTTATCTTTATTGTAGACGTTTCGCCATCCAGTGGCTTTATCAATACAAATTCTTGGACATAATAAGAAAAACGAAGAACTATATACAAAAGATGAGGTAATCAGTCCCTCGGCCTTGGAGGTGGTGTTTAGAGCACCGTGGTTGTAGAGATTCTGAAGCTTTTGCTTCTGATGACCAGAGCTTTGGTAAGATGGGTAAGGAAGAAGGATGGGTAAGGATGGAAATATTGGAAAAGGGTGGGAGGGGGGGGGGAGAGGTAGGATATAAAAGGTAAGTGGCCCAACCACTTTGGTGCAATTTAAAAAGTCAATGTGAATTAATAAGATATTCTTTAAGAGGTATAATACTAACCCATCAGAGTCACCTCACTACAGTATATAAGCCACGTCTACGGCCCTATGCTGTACATTCTACAAGATTGATGGACTGAACACATCGACTCCAGGCTGAGGGACTGATTACCTCATACTCCTCTCCTTACGCTTTCCTCTTTGTATTGGACTGATGAGGCCACTGTGTGGCGAAACGTTTCCTGAATAAAGATTCCCATATGCTGCATAAGTGTCTCAATCTTCAACTTGTCGGTTTTTCAAACCATTCATCACAATCCCCCTTATGTATGTTGGGAGGCAGTTGAACAGTCTCGGGCCCCTGACACTTGTTGTATGGTCTCTTAACGTGCTAGTGACACCCCTGCTTTTCATTGGGGGGATGGTGCATCGTCTGCCAAGTCTTTTGCTTTCGTAGTGAGTGATTTTCGTGTGCAAGTTCGGTACTAGTCCCTCTAGGTGAACAGGACAACAGGTATAAGAAAACGTGTTAAAATGTTTTCACTTCCCGGGCCGTGTGTTTGTGTGTGTGAAGCGAGTTTTGCCAACCAGGTCACTGGTCCACCAGCACTGGCACACAGTATTGCAATACACACAGTAGGTGGTCACGCCTCAAATATCTTTTATTATACAACAAAGAAGTTCAGTTCCATAGTCAGATAGTTCCTGACTATGGAACTGAACTTCTCCAGGCTGAGGGACTGACAACCTCAAATTCTACGACTTCAAGGGTGATGGACTGATTACATCGTCTTCACATCTCTACTGTTCCTGCCTACTTTCTGTATTCGACTGAAGAAGCCTACTGTGTAGGCGAAACGTTTCGGAATAAGTTGCCTAACTGTTGCCTATGTCTTATCTACCAACTTGTCGGTATTGTATACCATTTTGATATTCAATATTTTATTACATGTAAACTATATTGTGTATTACTGCATAAAAATTAAAATTTGTTTACTTAATAAATGAAAGTATAGAGAGGGAGGAGAGTGATTTCTTATATAATTAACATTCGTATAACTTAGTATTTTAAGTTGATCTCTATTGAATGTTTATGTAAACTATTCCTATTTCACCTCTTTTATTGTAAGTGATCTTCACGTAGCTGCTTTAATTTTAATTTTAAAGGTTATAATCATGAATGATATCTGCTGTTTCTTACAGCTAGGCTTTAAATAATAAGATATTACAAGGACCAGAATGGAAATAAGTTATTTCATTTGGCTTTTTTTGGATTATCCTGGTTTATTTACACATATTACTGTGTATGATAATTGTGATCATTTTAATTTATGTAAGTATTATGTGTACTTGTACATAAATAAACTTACTCTTCTCTGCTGGATGCTGTAAGACATACATAAATATATAACATTTCCATGGCATAATTTGGTAAGCATTGACTGGTAGTATAGATGTGACTCGACCAACATTAAACAGTGCCAACTTGAAGCATCGAGTTACAATTACTGGTCTAATTCTGACTACTGATAGTACAGTGCCAATGTTAGTGGAGTCTTATTTTACCTGATCTGACAAATTCCACTATTCTTCTCTAAAGGTCTCTAACCTTCATCAAGAACCGTGTTTGACACCCATATTTTTTTTCCAGATCTACGAATTTTTTCAGTTACTGTCTCAGTTGAGTGCTGGGCATCAACCTCTGGTGGGGTATGGGCATGGGTGCCCACCTGACCTACATAACAACCTGGTGTTGCCATTACTATTCTGACCTGACCTGTGTGTTCCTGGTTCTCGCAAGTTTGTGCAACATTTCTTGTGTAGGACGTGTGAAGTAGAACCTGTGAAGTAGAACCTGTGAAGTAGAACCTGTGAAGTAGAACCTGTGAAGTAGAACCTGTGAAGTAGAACCTGTGAAGTAGAACCTGTGAAGTAGAACCTGTGAAGTAGAACCTGTGAAGTAGAACCTGTGAAGTAGAACCTGTGAAGTAGAACCTGTGAAGTAGAACCTGTGAAGTACAGCATCACTGCTGCTGCCTCTCATAACAGTAAGTTTATTTACCTTAATTATGACATAAAATAATGACAAGTTGATTATTAAGACACATGTGCTGTACTTAGGTGACTATATTGTTGAAACCTTCCTCCTACACAGTAGCCTTCTTCAGTCAAAGATGGATTTAGTAGGTGTTGTAGTGAAATAAATACGATGTAATCAGTCCTTCAGATGGTCAGTCCCTCAGTCCTCAACCTCAACCTTAACCTGAGCCTCAGCCTGAGCCTCAACCTCAGCCTTAGCTTCAACCTCAACCTGAGCCTCAGCCTGAGCCTCAGCCTGAGCCTCAGCCTGAGCCTCAGCCTGAGCCTCAACCTGAGCCTCAACCTGAGCCTCAACCTCAGCTTCAACCTCAGCCTAAGCCTCAACCTCAGCCTAAGCCTCAACCACAGCCTAAGCCTCAGCCTCAACCTCAGTCTCAACCTCAACCTCAGCCTCAGTTTGACCACCTCACATATTATTTCTCCAAGGTTGATGGACTGATTACATCGTCTTTATTTCACTACTACGCCTGCAGAATCTATATGACTGAAGAAACCTACTGTGTAGGCGAAACGTTTTAACAGTAAATATACCCGAGTGTTGCACATACATGTTAATCATTATTTAGTTACAATAACATAACTTTTATTGACTTTAAACTTTTACGTTTGTCCTTAGTAATCTGTTATGATTGTAACAATACAAATAAAATAAGTTTGAGTAAATCAAATGCATGAAAATGTTATAATAAAATTAATTACAATAGAAATAAATGAATAAATTGCATGAACAGTAGACAGCAAAAATCAACTTAATACAACAGTTACAGGAATGTAACTACAAGAAATATACTATAATAATATAATACAGTTCAAGTTTATTTCTTTTCTGCAGTGTACAAAATGGAGTGTACATGTAATAAAATATTGTTAAGCCTGAAAGAAAATCACTTTCCCTCCCATTCTGTAGCTTCATTCATTAGATTTTTTTTTAGCTCCTTCTAAACTAATAGTTCTCTTTCTGAACTGTTGCTGCTGCTGCTGCTGCTGCTGCTATTCCTGGTCCTAGCTAGTTACATGCTTAGCACCTAGCACTATGCTGGGAAGAACAGGCCTTGTTCACCAAATAATATGGGGAGCAAGACATTTTTCACTAGCATCAAGGAAGCACTTGCAGTTGACATGTTGCAGGTTAGTCTCAGTATTTAGTAGTCATATACCATTGTACTTTATCTTGACCCCACAAGGGAGGTTCCTTGATAAGTAAATTTATTTAGAAACAGCTACACATACCATATTTCGCGGCTTATAAGACTTATTTTATTTTCAATGGTTTGGTATCGGACATTTCTGGGAAAGCTACAGCCCACCCCATACCCCAAACTTATAGCTCCTGTCACTGACCTTCAGTTTATAGGAGGCAGGCTGGTTTTTGGAGACATTTTACGGGAAAAATCCATCTAATAAGCCACGAAATACGGTAAGTACAATTATCATACATAGTGTAAATTACCTAGGCTAACCCACAAAAGCTGGTGACTTACTTCCATTGGGGTCCATTGGTGGCCCGGTGGCCTGGTGGCTAAAGCTCCTGCTTCACACACGGAGGGCCCGGGTTCGATTCCCGAAGGGTGGAAACATTTTGACGCGTTTCCTTACACCTGTTGTCCTGTTCACCTAGCAGCAAATAGGTACCTGGGTGTTAGTCGACTGGTGTGGGTCGCATCCTGGGGGCCAAGATTAAGGACCCCAATGGAAATAAGTTAGACAGTCCTCGATGACGCACTGACTTTCTTGGGTTATCCTGGGTGGCTAACCCTCCGGGGTTAAAAATCCGAACGAAATCTTATCTTATCTTATCTTATGAGTAAGTTTATTTAGGTACAAGTAACTACAAAGGACTACAATGAAAATATGTCACTGTTGACTTTTTTGGGTTATTCTAGTTAATTTACACTATGTACATAAGAACATAAGAACATAAGAACGAAGGAACACTGCAGAAGGCCTACTGGCCCATGCGAGGCAGGTCCAAGTCCCTACCGGCTTAAGCCAATGCACCCAACCTAGTCAGGTCAGGTCACATTGACTTAAGGGAGGAACACGGCAACCGACCTGTTAGCACAAGCTATCAGGTCCAACTCACACCCACCCACATCTACTCATGTATTTATCCAACCTATTTTTAAAGCTACACAACGTTCTGGCCTCTATAACGGTACTTGGGAGTTTGTTCCACTCATCCACAACTCTATTACCAAACCAGTACTTTCCTATATCCCTCCTGAATCTGAATTTTTCCAACTTAAAACCATTGCTGCGAGTCCTGTCTAGGCTAGATATTTTCAGCACACTATTTACATCCCCTTTATTTATTCCTGTCTTCCACTTATAAACCTCAATCATATCCCCCCTAATTCTACGTCTTTCTATGTATGATAATTGCATTTATGTGTGCCTGTACGTTACATATTATCATACATAGTAACATGTAAATTACCTAGGATAACCTCAAAAAAAGTCAAAAGTGACTCATTTCCATTAAGAGGGTAGCACCAGAATTTCTATACTGGGGTACTTAGGGATGACTGTTTAGCTGGAAGGGGGCTTAGAGACTTGTTTTGAAGTGGTATTATTATTTTTACTATTTTTATTTGGGAGGCTTTGGAGAGGCTGAGGGATTTTTGGGGGGCTTGAGCCCCCAAGCCTTCCCTTGGTGCTGCCATTTGGTGAGAGGCTTTGTTCCAAAGAATTGGACTTTATCACCTCTACCTTATATCTTACCTGATTTACTCCAATTCCTCTCAGTGCTATATGACTCCAAGTATTAAACTTATGCTTCCCCAGTGAATGTAATAACTGTTGTACCCAACGAATATCAAAAGTAATCCTCGTCTCCAAGTAGGGTTGCCATTTTCACATTAATTGCTCCTCATGTATTTCTGCATGGTCAAAATGGACCAGAAATTTTAATATTTGTTATTCTTAGTTAGGTTTGGTTAGGCACATATATTATCCTATATTTTATTATAACTTGACAGTAATGAAATTGACTCAGACAGAGTGAGGTGTACATACATGGTTCCATTTGAGTCATACATTTTCTCACAAGTGGTAAAAATTTGAGAGATGAGCTACTGAAGCAGCCTTCAAGGGATGCCTTGATGTGAATGAATAGTTATTGATCCGAAGAATTGGATCTACAGGTGTAGTAAGTTCCATTAATATAATAATAGTGTGGTATCTTAGTGTGTGAAGCATGACTATTAAATATATGCTAAAACCCTATCCAAATGTTTGTGTGGTAATAAATATGTACTTGGGTGTCAGTTGACTGCTGTGGGTTGCATCCTGGAGAGGACCTAAAAAAAAATATCCCCATTGGAAATAAGCTGATTCATTGATGGGTTTTCTTGTGTTATCCTGATGTTATGGAGGGATTGTCTCCAATGTCTTGTTTATAATGGTAGCATCTAGAGGTGGTCATGCTCACACCCTAGTTTTGTTAGTGTATTCCAGCCTCAAAACTACTTACTAATGAGGTCAGCTGCAATAGGAGCTGCCCTGGAGTTTCATGACTCGCTTGCTGTGAGTTCAAGCCCCACCGATACACGTACTGTGATTTGAATTAAATATTATCTGTGGCCGAGGAGAATTCCAAACATTGTGGAGGTCCTCTTAGCTATTACAGGAATATCAGGTTTCGCTTAGAAATCAGAAGTGATCTATATAGGTCTTAACATACTAATGGAGTATATTTAGCTTAGGAAAATTAAAAAAAAAAGAATAAATAAGTTGGTAATCAACAGGAGTGTTTTGAATATAAATGAACCTTTTGCTGAATGAAGTCTTATTTTATTTGTGTTTATCATTTTACCTATAAAAAATTACTATTATCAGTGCTTAAAAGATGTTTCTGAGAATTTGCATATTCTCCTGCTGCATAAATAAGGCACTTAGAAGAAAACTGATAAACTTGGTAGTAAGGGTCAATTGCATTTTCTGTACTAACATATTCATCATTCTTTCATTAGGCAAGTTGATCAATTTTCTTCCAAGCATCTCAGATACATGAACCATTTTTTTATTTTTATATACAACAGTACTGTAAGTCTTCAACAAGGAGGAATAGTTTATCTGTATTAGAATTTGACTACACACTAACTTGAATGATGTTCTCGGATGCCTTGTATAGTATTGTAGTACTGCCATTCATTTACCCAGATTAATAATTTAAAGATAGTAAATTTTTATTTGTTTCTAAAATACATCCACAGACAAAGAGCTACGCTAATAGATGGGAAGAAGGTTGCTGCTGAAATTTACGAGGAGCTTTATTTAGAAGTTCAAAATATGGTAGCATGTGGACGGCGAGCACCTCATCTGGTGCTTGTAAGAGTAGGTAATGACCCTGCTTCTGGCACCTATGTCAAGAATAAAATCAAGGCAGCTGATAAGATTGGTTAGTAAAGAGGAAATCTTTTAGATGCTGTGTACAAATAATGTTAGAAAATACAGTACATATACTGTATATTTTACATAAATGCACATGTACTCTGTTAGCTGTTAGTACGAAAAATTAGTGCTCATTTTATTATCTGGCTTAAAGGCAACAGGAAAAAGAAGGGAGGTATCATAATGTTTAGTGTTTTATTATAATAAAACTGTTTATATCTTGATTTAACTTAGTACAGATGCCAAAGGCCCAGAAAACATCTACAGCATAAAATGAAGTACACTAACACTGAAGAAGATACTAAAAATTACTTTTGTTTTACCTCTATATATGGGAACTTGATATATGCACCAAAGTGGCCATATACTGTACAAAAAATAACAAGAAAAGCACAAAGTCATTCTCAGCTTCAAAACCTGAAGTATTTCCTCATTTCTTGACAGATTTGTACACAGAAACACTATATACTGGATACATGTACCAAACAGTCATAATCATGGTGGTTACATTTCTGAGGCTCTTGTAATAATGAGAAAATTATTGAAGTTACAACTAAATACCGGGCAACTGGGCACAGTATGTGAGTGTATGAAGGGGTCTGGGTAAGTTACTCTCCTGGTACAGTGGGGTATAGTGAATAGGGAACAATGTATATTGTTGTATGCATATCACACATGCACCAAACAATCCTATACTGTACAGTAAGTAAGTGGCAGAAATCTGAATTCAGAATTAGTCATTTGCATTGTAATGTCTGTGCACTTCTGGCAAGACAGCTATTGTGTGTGAATGATGGTAATTTTTTTTTTTAATGCATCATGATGAGAGGTCCAGTGTGGTTAATTTCTTTTTACCCAAAAATAGGTGTATACCACATCAACGCCAACAGTTTTGTAGCAAAAGAAATGCTTTTAGTATAAAACGTAAAATCTGAAAGTTCGTCACAGATAACCTGCACATGGGAGACTGAAACTTATGATATTTTGGTCTAGCATGGGTCAGTAACTAGTCTTTAGTTAACCCTTAAACGGTCCAAAGAGATTGACGTTCAAATTCGTAGTGCTACAAAAGTAGATCTACTTTTTTTACATATTTTCAAATATAACAAAAAAAAAAATGTAAACAAAAGTTTTTTTACACGTTTTCAAATGTAAAACAAAAAAGATCTACATTTTTTTACATACTTTTAGATGTTGAAAAAACGTATGTATATGTTTGGACCATTTAAGGGTTAATACTCTAAGTTGGATTGAAATGTCATTATAAGTTTGTGTCCTACATGCAGCTTACTTGTTTATTGTTCCAGTCCATGGTATTGTCTTTTTATTCTTTAACCCTTTCAGGGTCGAGAGGCCATCTCCTAAACTTGTTCTCAGGGTCGAAAATTTTTCAAAAAAAAAAAAATCGTATGAAATGATAGAGAATCTTTTCCCGATCATAATGACACCAAAAGTATGAAATTTGGTGGAAAACTTACGGAATTATGCTCTCGTGAAGTTAGCGGTCTCGCTGATGTTTACGCATTGGCGATTCTGCCCATTTTGAGCCCTATTTTTGGCCAATTCCTGTGCACTAGTTGACAAAAATCATATTTATTTCGCTAGAACTCCATTTTTTCTATCGAATGAGTGCAAGAAACCACCCATTTACCAATTTCAACTATCCAATAAAGTGGTTAGAAATTGGCAATTTTGCCAATTTCACACAAATTTCAGAAGATGCCAATTTCCAAATAGGGTCCAGAATAAACAAGAAAGACATTCCTGGCACTAAAATAAAAAGTTCTCTGTTTGTTAGTCATGTCCCCAGGCCCCTCTTATATTTCTTTTGCTTTTCACTTTGAATTTTTATTCTTACAAAAAATAGAAGATTTACTGTTATGCAGACTACTGCGTTAGTGTAGAAATGGTATAAATAATATCAGCGCACTTGTGAAAGAATATTAGACTCGCCAGTTGACATGTATTGGACGCTTGGCATGATTTGTTTACTTTTGAACTTTGGTAAAAATCGAATATTTCTGCTACTTTGAGCTCAATTTCAAGGTACTTTTCATTGTGAAACCAGTCAAAATCATCTCCATTTCTGTAATATGTCTTCTATTCTGTAAAATGAGACCTGGAAAACTAGAATACAACCATAAATACCATACAAAAATACATTGCAAAGTCACTGTTTTAATCCAAAAACAGTCAAAAATTTTTTTTTTCTCATTACGCACTGTGTGCGGCAGGATTTTTTTTATACTGCTCACACTGACCACATAGACCCATTCTTTCATATGTAAGCCTACCAGCTTTCTCTCACTAGATTTAAAGGCGCTAGAATTTAGGCGTACTAGTACGTCAATGACCCTGGTGCGTAAGCCGTACTAGTATGTCGAAAACCCTGAAAGGGTTAAAAGTCAGTCAGTCCTGCCTGGTACTAGGGGTTAATATATTGACAAAAATTATTCTGCTGGTAAGTCTCCCCCCCCCCCCTCTTTTTTTTTTTTTTGTCATTTGGCATTACCACTACGGGCATTATGCAGAGTTACTCTGTACTGAATGTGCTGTATAAGATTTTATTCATCTCAAACATTAATTTTCATATTTGTGTATGATATAGTGGAGTACATTCACTATATATTGTAGTAACTACACTGTATAGGGTACAGCATTATATTTTTTGCCTATAAATTTACTTACCCTTGTACTAAAGTTGCTGCCTGAAACTTTGAAATTCATTAAATATATTTGTCATATCATCTTTATTTATATTTTTTCTCAACACGCTGACCATCTCCCACTAGGGCAGTGACCCAGCAAAGAAAAACATTTTCACCATCATTCACACATAATCACTGTCTTTGCAGAGGCGTGCAGATATGACAGTTCATGTGTCACTCCAAACAGCTATTTAATAAATATATTTATTAAAAGTAATTGGTGGAATGATGAAGTAAAGGGTGTGATAAAAGAGAAAAAGGTAGCTTACGAGAGGTTTTTACAAAGCAGAAGTGTTATAAGAAGAGCAGAGTATATGGAGAGTAAAAGAAAGGTGAAGAGAGTGGTGAGAGAGTGCAAAAGGAGAGCAGATGAAAGAGTGGGAGAGGCACTGTCAAGAAATTTTAATGAAAATAAAAAAAATTTTGGAGTGAGTTAAACAAGTTAAGAAAGCCTAGGGAAAGTATGGATTTGTCAGTTAAAAACAGAGTAGGGGAGTTAGTAGATGGGGAGAGGGAGGTATTAGGTAGATGGCGAGAATATTTTGAGGAACTTTTAAATGTTGAGGAAGAAAGGGAGGCGGTAATTTCATGCACTGGCCAGGGAGGTATACCATCTTTTAGGAGTGAAGAAGAGCAGAATGTAAGTGTGGTGGAGGTACGTGAGGGATTACGTAGAATGAAAGGGGGTAAAGCAGCTGGAACTGATGGGATCATGACAGAAATGTTAAAAGCAGGGGGGGATATAGTGTTGGAGTGGTTGGTACTGTACTTTTGTTAAATAAATGTATGAAAGAGGGAAGGTACCTAGGATGACGGGGGAGCATGTATAGTCCCTTATATAAAGGGAAAGGGGGCAAAGAGATTGTAAAAATTATAGAGGAATAAGTTTACTGAGTATACCAGGAAAAGTATACGGTAGGGTTATAATTGAAAGAATTAGAGGTAAGACAGAATGTAGGATTGCGGATGAACAGGGAGGCTTCAGAGTGGGTAGGGATGTGTAGATCAAGTGTTACATTGAAGCATATATGTGAACAGTATTTAGATAAAGGTAGGGAAGTTTTTATTGCATTTATGGATTTAGAAAAGGCATATGACAGAGTGGATAGAGGAGCAATGTGGCAGATGTTGCAAGTATATGGAATAGGTGGTAAGTTACTAAATGCTGTAAAGAGCTTTTATGAGGATAGTGAGGCTCAGGTTAGGGTGTGTAGAAGAGAGGGAGAATACTTCCCGGTAAAAGTAGGTCTTAAACAGGGATGTGTAATGTCACCATGGTTGTTTAATATATTTATAGATGAGTTGTAAAAGAAGTAAATGCTAGGGTGTTTGGAAGAGGGGTGGGATTAAATTATGGGAATCAATTCAAAATGGGAATTGACACAGTTACTTTTTGCTGATGATACTGTGCTTATGGGAGATTCTAAAGAAAAATTGCAAAGGTTAGTGGATGAGTTTGAGAATGTGTGTAAAGGTAGAAAGTTGAAAGTGAACATAGAAAAGAGTAAGGTGATGAGGGTATCAAATGATTTAGATAAAGAAAAATTGGATATCAAATTGGGGAGGAAGAGTATGGAAGAAGTGAATGTTTTCAGATACTTGGAGTTGACGTGTCGGCGGATGGATTTATGAAGGATGAGGTTAATCATAGAATTGATGAGGGAAAAAAGGTGAGTGGGTGCGTTGAGGTATATGTGGAGTCAAAAAACGTTATCTATGGAGGCAAAGAAGGGAATGTATGAAAGTATAGTAGTACCAACACTCTTATATGGATGTGAAGCTTGGGTGGTAAATGCAGCAGCGAGGAGACGGTTGGAAGCAGTGGAGAATGTCCTGTCTAAGGGCAATGTGTGGTGTAAATATTATGCAGAAAATTCGGAGTGTGGCTATTAGGAGAAGGTGTGGAGTTAATAAAAGCATTAGTCAGAGGGCAGAAGAGGGGTTGTTGAGGTGGTTTGGTCATTTAGAGAGAATGGATCAAAGTAGAATGACATGGAAAGCATATAAATCATAGGGGAAGGAAGGAGGGGTAGGGGTCGTCCTCGAAAGGGTTGGAAAGAGGGGGTTAAAGGAGGTTTGTGGGCGAGGGGCTTGGACTTCCAGCAAGCGTGCATGAGCGTGTTAGATAGGAGTGAATGGAGACGAATGATACTTGGGACCTGACGATCTGTTGGAGTGTGAGCAGGGTAATGTTTAGTTAAGGGATTCAGGGAAACCAGTTATTTTCATATAGTCGGACTTGAGTCCTGGAAATGGGAAGTACAATGCCTGCACTTTAAAGGAGGGGTTTGGGATATTGGCAGTTTGGAGGATATGTTGTGTATCTTTATACGTATATGCTTCTAAGCTGTTGTATTCTGAGCACCTCTGCAAAAGCAGTGATAATGTGTGAGTGTGGTGAAAGTGTTGAATGATGATGAAAGTATTTTCTTTTTGGGGATTTTCTTTCTTTTTTGGGTCACCCTGCCTCGGTGGGAGACGGCCGACTTGTTGAAAAAAAAAAAAAAAAAATTTGGGAAAAAGTTTTGACAGATTTGTTTCCTTTTTTAACTCTAGTAGTCTCTCACTGAGGTAGGGTGACCCAAAAGAGAGGAAACACTTTCACCATTGCTCATTCAGTCACTGTCTTGCCAAAATGTGCTGTACATCCCCCCCTCCTTTAGATGCAGGCATTGACTTCCCACCTCAGGAATTGGCTAATGGGGTTTTTCTAATCTCTTTACAAATGTTACCTTCCTCACTCATCAGCATGTCAAGTCATGAAAATATATGAAAATAATTAGTCCTGTAGTCTGTTAGTAATCTCACAAGTTATGTACAAAATTTCCCCATTGATAATTTTTGTTAGACATCCAGATACTAAAATGCTGTATGCATTTTAGTTAAGACAACTATTCAATAAATGGTCATTTGTGTGAAATGGTCAGTGCCCAATAATTAAAAAAAGGGTGTGGGGGTGTTCAGATGTCTAAAATTTTTTCTGTTTATTTCTATAATTATTCCAGGTATTCAAAGTACCATTCACCATTTGCCACAAGACACCAGCAAGTCGACTCTCTTAAAACTTTTGAATGAGCTCAATGTTGATCCAGATGTTGATGGCATTCTGGTACAGGTAAGCTAAGTCATTCAAAAATTACCATCACTGCAGCTCTTTTTTTTTTTTTTGTGTGTGTGTGTGTGTGTGTGTGTGTGTGTGTGTGTGTGTGTGTGTGTGTGTGTGTGTGTGTGTGTACTCACCTAGTTGAGGTTGCAGGGGTCGAGTCCAAGCTCCTGGCCCCGCCTCTTCACTGGTCGCTACTAGGTCCACTCTCCCTGAACCATGAGCTTTATCGTACCTCTGCTTAAAGCTATGTATGTGTGTGGGTGTGGGTGTGGGTGTGGGTGGGTGGGGGGGGGGGAGTCATTAGTTCCTAGTTCCTGAGCTGGGTCAGAATTTGTACTACATACTGTACTATATTCCATTTGAAAGTGATGTACACGGTACAGTGAAACAAGTAGAACATGGTTGATACAACAGACCTCAATATAATGGACTCTGAATTTCAGACAAAATTCACTAAGTACAGTGGTACCCCGAGTTTCGAACTGTTCCCAACTCAGCCAGTTTTGTAAGAGTATTATTGTAAGTTCTTTTGTAAGTGTATTTTTGGGGTCTGAAACGGACTAATCTAATTTATATTATTTCTAATGGAAACAAATTCTTTCGGTAACGGCACTCGAACAGCCTTCTGGAAAGAAGAAAGTTTGAAATTCGGGGTACCACTGTAAATTGTACTTTTAGCTAATTTAATTTTAGTGTTTATTGCAGTATATTTCTAGGTTTTGTAAACAAGGGGCTTGAACATACAGCAGGCATGTGTGAGCATGTTACATAGGAGTGACGAATGGTTTTTGGGACTTGACGAGCTGTTGGAGTTTGAGCAGGATAAGATTTTGTGAAGGGATTCTGGGAAACTGGTTAGCTGGACTTGAGTCCTGTAGGTGAGAAGTACAGTGCCTGCACTTTAAAAGAGGGGTTCGGTTATTTGGCGTTTAGAGTAATGTCTAAACTGTCGTATCTGCATGCCTCTGCAAAGACAGTGATAGTATGAATGATGGTGAAAGTGATTTTTTTTTTTTGAGGTCACCCTGCCTAGGTGGGAGATGGCCAGTGTATTAAAAAAAATCTGTTGTGTACATTGCTATATTAGGTATACAGTATGGTTCTTTAGTGCTTTTTCTTCATTTTTTTTTATTTTCCTGATTTAGCAGACACTCTGACAAGAATTTTCCTCCTTTATGTGCATTATATCAAGAGTTTACTATGTTTTTACACCAAGACATTCACTGCTGCTTGAATGGAGACATGGGTAAGTCTCCTAATACTTGCTGCCCCTTGTTCACCTAGCACTAAATAGATACCTAGAAGTTAGTTTACTGTTGTGAACTAATAGACTGAGGAAAATCTGAATAAACTGATGCAGTGGTCAGAGAAATCATACCCCCGGCCGGGATTGAACCCGCGGTCATAGTCTCAAAACTCCAGTCCGTCGCGTTAGCCACTAGACCAGCTAGCCACAATAAGATTCATCCAACTAGGTATATTTCTACACCATAGGAAGGTTAGCACAGGCACCTCTGTGACCACAAATGCAAGTTTTTACAGACGAATCTCCAGCTAGCGTGGCCGTGACGAACTCTAGCTCAAGTCCCTTCACTGCCGTCAACATGACTTAAGAAATCGTAATGACACGATTGCAAATAAACCATACCCCCGGCCGGGATTGAACCCGCGGTCATAGAGTCTCAAAACTCCAGTCCGTCGCGTTAGCCACTAGACCAGCTAGCCACAATAAGATTCATCCAACTAGGTATATTTCTACACCATAGGAAGGTTAGCACAGGCACCTCTGTGACCACAAATGCAAGTTTTTACAGACGAATCTCCAGCTAGCGTGGCCATGACGAACTCTAGCTCAAGTCCCTTCACTGCCGTCAACATGACGGCAGTGAAGGGACTTGAGCTAGAGTTCGTCACGGCCACGCTAGCCGGAGATTCGTCTGTAAAAACTTGCATTTGTGGTCACAGAGGTGCCTGTGCTAACCTTCCTATGGTGTAGAAATATACCTAGTTGGATGAATCTTATTGTGGCTAGCTGGTCTAGTGGCTAACGCGACGGACTGGAGTTTTGAGACTCTATGACCGCGGGTTCAATCCCGGCCGGGGGTATGGTTTATTTGCAATCGTGTCATTACGATTTCTTAAGTCATGTTGACAGCAGTGAAGGGACTTGAGCTAGAGTTCGTCACGGCCACGCTAGCTGGAGATTCGTCTGTAAAAACTTGCATTTGTGGTCACAGAGGTGCCTGTGCTAACCTTCCTATGGTGTAGAAATATACCTAGTTGGATGAATCTTATTGTGGCTAGCTGGTCTAGTGGCTAACGCGACGGACTGGAGTTTTGAGACTCTATGACCGCGGGTTCAATCCCGGCCGGGGTATGGTTTATTTGCAATCGTGTCATTACGATTTCTTAAGTCATGTTGACGGCAGTGAAGGGACTTGAGCTAGAGTTCGTCACGGCCACGCTAGCTGGAGATTCGTCTGTAAAAACTTGCATTTGTGGTCACAGAGGTGCCTGTGCTAACCTTCCTATGGTGTAGAAATATACCTAGTTGGATGAATCTTATTGTGGCTAGCTGGTCTAGTGGCTAACGCGACGACTGGAGTTTTGAGACTCTATGACCGCGGGTTCAATCCCGGCCGGGGGTATGGTTTATTTGCAATCGTGTCATTACGATTTCTTAAGTCAGTCAGAGAAATGGCAGTTGCAGTTTAATATAGACAAATGCAAAGTTCTGAGCCTTGGAAAAGAAAATAACTGTGGCATTTATAGACTGAATAATGTAGATCTTAATCACTCTGAATGCAAAAAAAAAAAAAAAAAAAAAAAAAAGGAGTTCTGGTTAGCAGTAATCTAAAGCAAAAACAAGAGTGCATATGTGTTCACAATGAAGTGAATAGAATTCTTGGCTTCATATCAAGAAGTGTAAATAACAGGAGTCCTCAGGTTATTATTCAACTCGTTATATCATTGGTTAGGCCTCATTTAGATTATGCTACACAGTTCTGGTCACCATATTACAGAATGGACATAAATGCAGTAGAAAACATACAGAGAAAGATGGCACAGTTGATTCCATGAATCAGAAACCTTTCATATGACGGCAGACTGAGGACACTGGATCTGCACTCTCTAGAAAAGTGTAAAATTAGAGGGATATGATTGAGGTGTATAAATGGAAATTAGGAATAAATAAAAGGGGATGTAAATAACATGCTAAAAAAAAAAAACAAAACAAAACAGGACTCACAGTAATGGCTTCAAGTTGGAAAAAAATAGATTTAGAAAGGATATAGGAAAGCATTGGTTTGATAATAGAATTGTGGATGAGTGGAACAAACTCTCGAGTAGTGTCACTGAAGTTAAAACCTTGTGTAGCTTTAAAAATAGGTTAGACAAGTACATGAGTGGGTGTGAATTGGATCTGCTTCCTAATGGTCTTGTATTCTCATGTTGTGGATTGAATCCTGAGGGTGGCCTTAATTAAGGACCTTAATGGAAATAAGCTATGTTGCTTGACTTTATTGAGTTATTGTGGGTTATTAACCCTCTGTGTTAATAATCAGAATAAGTTATTCTTCTACATTGATTAATTTGATGGAATGTCCTATGAGATCTAATATAATGGTATTAGTTATTAGTTTATACCTAGTTGTACTTTAGCTCATTCCAGCACAACACATAGACAACACCAACTCCATTATGTGTATTAGTGACTATACTCTACATGACCAAAATGCTATAGCTATATACTTGTCCAAACTTCCCACCACTTCAGATATCAGTACTAAAACTCAACACACAACTCAGGATATAAATAACCATAATTTAAACCTAGATGATGATTGATCACGTTGACCCTGATCTAAACCTCCATAATCTGACACACAACCAAAACCTATTGGAAAGTAACTGCCTTTACTACACAGCATCACAAGCCAGCACTATCCTAAACAATGCTAAAAGTCTATCAGTACTTAACTACAACATCTGGTCCTTAAGCAAACACTATGATGACCTCCTGGCACTCCTTGAATCACTAAAGACACCCTTCTCCTGCATTATTCTTACTGAGACCTGGCTTAAGCAGGACACAATATAGATATCTACCCTCTACCAGGATACACAGCAATACACAACTGCAGACCATACCAAGTTGGGGGTGGTATTGCAATCTATTACTCTAACCAATTATCTTGTATTAGCACCATTTGCTTTAGTGATGAATATGGAGAATACATTTTTGCTAATTTTACTGTAAAAAACCTTAAGACGCCCATAACAATCGGTGCCATTTACCGGATACCCCACACAAACATCCCAAATTTCAGTGAGAAATTAAAGGAACTAATAACAAACAGACAAATGAATAAGCACCACCTTCTCTTAGCTGGAGACTTCAACATCAACCTTGGCCTACTAAATGATCAGCCTGTAACTGATTTCATCAACAATATGAATAACACACTTCTCATACCAACAATAACTAAACCAACCAGGCTCACTGAAACAAGTGCAACCATAATAGACCACATATGGACCAATATACTAGCCCCCCTTAAATCAGGGATAATCACAGATAGCACTACAGACCACTACCCTTCCTTCCTCTTGACAAACATTAGTAAACCACCACTTGAATACAACAAAGTTTCATATAGACTCCATGATGAGGCCTCAATAAGGAAGTTCACAGCTGACCTAGAGACTGTTGACTGGCCTACAGAATTCTCCAAGGCCAATGGTATTGATGACTGGACAGACATTTTTCTTAACAAATTACTTAGACTATACAACAAACATTGTCCTATAAAAACGAAACAGATCACAAACAAACGGCTTGGTTGCCCATGGCTAACCAGCACCATTCTAAAATCCATTGATAAGAAACACCAATATGAAAAGCAATATAGACAGGGCCTAATACACAAAGATATTCTTAAACACTATTCATCAGTCCTCACCAAGTAATAAAGAAAGCCAAACAACTATACTACTCCAGTAGATTC